AAAGGCATGCCTCGGCACCCAGCCCCCCCCAAACCTGACCAACCCCACCCCCACCCCATGCGTGATGACAAAACCAGGCCTTCAGTTTTTTTCTGAAGTCTAAAAGGGAAGGGGCCAACCTCACTTCTGGGGGAACAGTGTTCCAAACGGCAGGGGCTACTGCAGAGGAGGCTCACCTCCTTTTATATTAATAACAACAACCATCATCATCAATTAAAATAAGGACTCCTTAATCATTACTTTTTCACACATAATTAACATTTATACTTCCTGGTGGTTCTGTGTCTGAAGAAAAAGCACATGCGTACAGTGTAAAATAGGAATTAAGACCAGGAATCACTGTAGGCACTTTCCCCATATTGCTGGACCCTAGCATTATTAAATATTTCCTCTTTTTTACATTTTTACACTAAACTGAAGCGATTATAACATCCCAGTTTAATGTTTAAACTCCGGCTCTCAATTTATTTAAAATTTAGAATAGTGGTCTGATTTTCTGCCACAGGCTTATTAATTGGTTTATTAATAGTTAAAATATATTAAAGTATAATTAAAATTAGATTAATATTCAGTATTAATGAAATGGGTTTTATGGGTGGGGGTTATATAATGATGTACCTGAAGAATTCTGCGGTATTTGCAGGCAGAGAAGCCAAATATGTTTCCCTCAAACCAAAGAAATACTACATTCATATACTTTTCTATTAATGATACAAAACAGATAGTAGTGAAATTTCTTAATATGGTTGCGTTTAAGCAATGTGTAGCAATAATTTCATACTGAACTACACAAGGGGGACACTAGCATATACAAATGAGGCAGCAGTCCATAAAAGAGAAAAGCGACAAGAAGTGTAGAAGCAGAGGATAGAAAAAAATATTTTTTTGTTAATTAATACTTACGTTGATAACATATCTAATGGCAGCGTCAGTAGTGAGCTCACAGAGCCAGTAAACAAGCACTTGTAGATACGGCCTAAAGAGCAGAGAAAGAAAATAAAATTCCTGATAAGTGAATGTTATCAGGATATAATTGATAAAAGGATATTTGGCAGCATCTTAAGGGTTATCTTAACCAATACTAACAATGGTAAACTTAACAGCAAACCTAAGGAAATGAACCAATTCAAGCTGAAAAGATGAGCAAGAAATGTGCTTTCCTACACGGCAATCTTCACCCTTTAAATTTGGATTGAGTTACATTTATGCCATGTTCCAAAACTGATCTCTTAGATATTTAAGGGAATATGAATCTTACCAGGTTATCCATCTAGTAATTTAATCCCTTTTGGTTTATTTATTACCCAATAACAATAGAAAAATTGTCTCTGAAGTTTCTTGGACAGCCCAGAAGTATATGAAAATTAAAAATGCATACAACTAGTCTGTAGTGGATCAAGATGTTCTATATAAAGGTAGATAAATCAGAACATAAAAACTAAGATTAGATTTCAGCCAAAAGATCAGCAGCGGTTTACATGGGATAACAGCCCATCACACAGTGCTGCTGCCTTCTCACAGTAGGCATCATAGTCCTCCCTACCACTATCTACAATTTTAGCATGACTAGGAAAAAAAACAGAAAAAAACCCCCACACTACTTGAGAGCCGACTGAAAATAAAAGGTTCCTCCCACTGCCTTGTACTGCCAATGTATATTGTATGAAATACTTACATGCTGTAAGAGGTACAACTCCTAACCATGCAAAGGCCACAAGAGTGTAGTGAAACCAGTATCGTATTGCTGTGCCAATACTTGTAACCAACCCAGCAAATATGTCTTGGATTGGTAGCCGAGAAGGCATATCTGGAGAATAAACTTTAAAAAAAGGAAGAAACCATGTAACTTATATTCCTTTAACAGAACTGACATAACAGAGTTACTCTTAATAATATACGTGACAAAAACAAAGAGTGGCTAAAATTAGTGGGGGGGAAAAACATTGGAAGCTTCTTTATACTGAATTAAACTTAAGATTCACTGAATTAAGTATTTTTATTATTATTTTATATAGGAAAAGAAAAAATTACACACAAAGAAGGGGGGGAAAGGCGGGGAGCAAAAGAGGAAAAATAAAGCACAAAGTGGCTAAACAGAATTTGAAAGCATTATAGAATTAGGTTAACATTTCCAATATTTCATTAGCTTTAAATAACTGAATATACTGTATCATTTAAAAATACAAATAATTGTTAAAATCCAAGTAATATATGAATATCAAAAGCAACAATCAGCATAGTATAAATCATGTGCGCTTAAGAATTATAGTAGTTTCTATTCAAACAATTAAAGATTTTATGTTAAGAGAAATCCACATTTTGGATGTAACTCTAACTAACCCTGTATATAGTTATAACCCAAGAATGGTTTCTAAATTGATTTAAATTCTGTGGCACATTTACTTTTGAAATACAAAGTTATTTTGTGCGTGAAGGAGCATTCCTAGAACTTAATTAGCCATTCTTCAGCAGAAGGAACTGTGCATTTTTTTCAATAGGAAATACAGAGTATCCTTGTAGCACTTCCCATACACAAAGTCAATATACTTTGTAGGAATGTAGTTTACTAATATTAAATAAAATATTATTTAAATATTATTTTATTTAAAGGAAAGGAAATTCAGTTTTTAAAATTTGTTTCATTCTATTATAAAGCATTTTTCAAAATTGTTTACAACATTGCCATGAAATATGGAAATGATCCAACCTGCTCATTTCCAACAATATTTAATGAACTGTCTATTTCAGCAATTAATACTAGAATAATATACCAGTGATAAAACAACTTATTCTAGTTTTCTCTAAGTATAATATCAGTGTAAATTTAATGTTTTTCTTCCACTGAAATTCCCATTGTTGCATATCAATTATTGTATCTAAATTCTTCATCTATTTAATCATACACTCTTTACGTAGTTCAGTTTGAGTCACATTTCACAACAATTTATAAATAAGGCCCAGCAAATGCCCTGAAGTTTGTGTTATAAGGTTTCAAATTCAGTCAAGTCCCTTGTTTTTGTAGTTCTTTTAAAACTATGGTGCTTATCTGAAGATACTGAAAACTGTCAGGTGATTTTGACCACTGCAAGGAGAAAGTCTCAAAACATTTTATCTTTGTCTTATTAATAGTCAAATCTTCCATTCTGTACAATAGTGGCTTTTAAACTGGGGGTAATTACCCCCAATTTAAAAAGGAAGGGGGTAATTTGGGCATATCCTAGGAGTAATGGAACAATTTGTAAACTGCTTGTTTGTGAGCTGAAGATCCAGTTTGGGACTGCTGCTGCTGAGACACTTGTGTAAAACTTTTTTTGTGGTGGTAATGACATTATTTAAGATCAGGAAAAGGGGTAATTGGGTCAAGCAGTTTAAGAACCACTGCCCTATGATTAATCTAGCTACTCTGAAGGCTGAGGCTGGTGAACTGCTTCTACTCAGGAGTTCTGGGCTGCAGTGGGCTATGCCAACTGGGTGTCTACACTAATTTCAGCATCACTACAATGATTCCAGAGAGCCAAGGGCCACCAGTTTTTTCTATTGAGTTAATTTCTTTATGCTTTCCTCTTCATGGAAATAAATATTCATAATGAAGCAAGAGATGATATGTCTGAGCTTATTCTTTTTCTGTATTTATCCCAAATTTGTAAGACTCTGCTTATTATTGGATTATCTTTTATAAACAGTTTATTTCTGTCTGTATCTATCTAAAATCCAAAGATATTTGTGCAGTCCATCTGGGAGTCTTGCTCCCTCAATGGAGGTCACCCAACCATGGGGTAATATAGTTAAACAGCTAGTTTGATAATACACAAAATTCAGTGTTGTTGATAATGAGTGATAACAGTTCTCCAAGGTTTCAGACAGGAATTTTTCACAGCCCTTTAATCCAGAGATGCAGGATTAAACATGGGTCTACAGCATTAAACAAACATGTTATCACACACTATGGCCCTTCTCAACCATTGGCTCAGATTAAGGATGGATGGTTTTCTGATCAGACAAATCAGCTTTGATTGCTTTAAAACCAATAGACTCGCTTTAACCAATTTGTAGGTTAGAGTAAAAAAATCAGCCATTAACATTATAAAAATTTAAACTGAGAGAGAACTTTTGTATGAATTGCACAAGGGTTCTGATCCTGTATATAGAAGGTTTCTTCAGTTTTCTTATACTGCAATAAACCTGCCTGCTGCCAAGGGGGAAATGCCACAGACAACAGAACACAGCAAGATTTTCCCAAAAAGTACAATTTGTACTTAGGGCTGAGCAACATTTCTAATTCTTTTATTATCCTCCCCTTTCTGACCTATGCTTCTTTCCATTATTTGTTAATGTATATGATTGTTACCAGATTATCTGTTCTTTCAAAGGAAGCAAGAACTTTAATTATATTAATATCAAATTTAAGTATTTCATTTTCATTTTTTAAAATGCACTAGTTTCAAATGGCTATTTTTGTAGAATTCTGGCTTTTGGTAGCTTCACAAAGAAGCTAAAAATGACCTCTCTACAAAACTGATAAATCTGCTTGAAACGTAGAGGAAGAAAAGGAGTATATCGTTATAAATTTGAAAAATAAAAATATATTTAAGAAACACAGACATGGAAAAGTTGCAATAAAAATATAGTTAATATTCTTTTGAAAAGATAATTTTTACCTATGACAAACAAACAAACAAACAAAGGTCTGTGGCCTAATTGCATATAAACCAGACAGTATTTGTTTTGTTTAACTGTGATTTATTTGAGCATCTAAACTTAGCAACAAACCATGCCAAAACACATAGTTGCCACAACAGAGCAAAATAAAATACCTATTTCCCAAGAGCAATTATCATATTTACCTAATAGGAAGATTATTTTTCTACACAATTATCTATGTTCACTGCTAAGAAGAGAACAGAAAACAAAAGAATAGGTAGAAGTGCAAACTACTGAAATAAACATTGCTATAAAAAGGCATGCCCTTGATAATTAGTCTAAAGATTAGCCTAAACTTTAATTTGGGGTTGTCTTAAATTCTGGCCCATCTTCCTTAGGGGTAAATGCAGTAGTAATGCTCTGAAAATTACACAAATGCTAAACACACAATACATAAAAATCTGTCTCTAATCTCAAAGCCACCATAAACAGCCCCTTATGATCTTCACAGACAGAACATACAGTGGTACCTCTACTTACGAACGCCCCTACTTACGAAATTTTCAAGATACGACCAGCTCCAGCCCAAAAAATTTACCTCGATGTGCGAACTCCGCCTTGAGGTACGGCCATTTTTCCACCCTGACACGTGGTCCATGGCCATTTTTCCGTCCTGACACGTGGTCCGCGGGTGTTTTTCTGCCCCGCCGTGTGGCGCGCGGGCGTTTTGCCACCCCGCCGTGCCCCTGACACGCGGGCGCTTTTCCGCCCCTGACACGCGGCGTGCGGGTGTTTTGCCGCCCTGCCACGCAGCGTGCGGGTGCTTTTCTGCCCCTGACACGTGGTCCGCGGACGCCAGAACGGATTAACGGTAAT